TTTTTTTTTTTTTAATTTGGAATGATACTCCTCCAAGAGAGGAAACAGCCTCGTGTCTTCTGCACTGTGGGTGCTTATGGCCTGTTTAGTATCCTCCAGCCCCAAGAATTATTTATTTGGGCTGGTCAGTGTGGTTCCACCAGAGCTTACTCTGTCTGAACCAATTTTGCCATGGTGAAATTATTTTCCAGCACAGATCATATCCATTTTCTCTATATTGACAAGGAGCTGTCTGACTGCAAGAAAGTGATCCCTGGACAGTGTAACAGTCAGTTGGGTGCCCCCAGGGGAAGAACCTGGATTTCCTTTCCCCACCTCCCCTGTTCCTGTCTATCTACCTAATCTACCATTGTTCCATCAGGGACTCAGAACTCTGAAATCCTTCAGATTTGGGGCATCAGATCACATCTTCCGCTACTTCATGCTAGAGAGGGGCATGAAGTCTGAGTCCTTGCTAAGTGTCAAGGGGTTGGGATAGGAGTGTTAGGGTTCCTTGCTTTACAGGAGGTGTTTGCTGGCAGGTGAGCACTGTAGAATCTTTGCCCCACTTGATCTGATACAGATGATGATGGCAGTGAGGCCTCAGGCACGATAGTTAATAGTCCCCAGCAAGCCTCAGGGACTTCTGCAGGTTGATGGCCTGTAGGTGGAAAGAGATAAACTTAGTGAGGAGGTTTAGCAAACAGGAATCAAGCCAGAGAAGTGGGATTGAGGTTAATAGTGCTAGTAAGAACCACAACCAAGTCTCCTTACAAGAGAACCCGCCCTAGGCTGCTTTCTCCCTTAATTATGATGCCTGCCTGGAAGGTTAGTGTGCGAATGTTATCCCAATCTGTCCTGACTTGTTGCTTCAAAAACAGCACTCCTGTTGGAGCAGTATGCAGACTCACCCCTGTGCAGCAGTGATCATAGCCAAGTCTTACCTGTCTGTAGGACCTCAGCAGCCAGGGAGTTGATCTGTTGCTGTAAGTCAGTAAGGGCCTCAACCATGGTAACTAGGCTGACAGCACACTCAGGACTAGCCAGTGTACAGAAATGGTCTGTCATACACTATTTCAAAAGGGGTCAGATGGAGATGAGCCTTTGGAGCCACTTGGAGTGTGAGAAGAGGTATGGGGCTTACCCATGGTACTGTTGTGATCTGGAAGATACAAATTTTACTTGAAGATTAAGTATAGTAGCCTAAGGTCCTAATGGGGAAACAGCCAAGTGAGTTTAGGAAAATAAGCTTTAATAATTTTTCACCTATACACATCTGAAGATCAAAAATTTTTCCATTAGCAGATCTGTTAGATAAGACTTAAATCAACTCAAGACAAACTTATAACTTTGACTGTGTACACTCTGGGAATCAAACCCAATGCTTCTCTCATTATAAATAAGCACTCTACCACTAAGCTAAACCTTAAGCCCCCATAGTTCCTTTGGATAGTTATACAAATTAACCATTTCTCTATAACTTCTTAGCATGACTTTACTTTTGGTAGGGCCAACATATGTGCACTTCTCAAGTTACGTTTTAAAAGAAAAAAGGGCCAGGCACAGTGGTACATGCCTATAATCATAGCAGTTTGGGAGGCTGAACCAGAAGGATCATGAGTTCAAAGCCAGCCTCAGCAACAGCGAGGTGCTAAGCAACTCAGTGAGACCCTGTCTCTAAATAAAATACAAAATAGGGCTGGGGATGTGGCTCAGTGGTCGAATGCCCCTGAGTTCAATCTCCAGTACCAAAAAGAAAAAAAGACATTTTCTTACATGACTCAGTGCCATTATCCATTCAACACATGAGCACTAATGATCCCCTACAGTCCTCTGATGGCCATCTCATCTCATCATCATCCACTACCTTCCCATCATCCCCAATACTTTTGATGACTCTTCATTCACTCCAGCATCTTATTGAGGTTCCCTTTTGCACTTGGGTGTTGGGCCCCTTAAATCTACTTCCCTCTAGAAGGGTCTTCCCAGCGTCGTTTTTCCCACTGACATTGATTTGCAGAGGAGACTGGGCCAGTTGCCCTATGGACAATAGTTCTAGCATTCATTCCACTTTAACAGATCCTTCTTTTCTTCAGAAAGGCTAGAAATTTAGGGTCAGGGGGTCCTAGTCAGATGAGAATAGAGCTAATAAAAGAAGGAAACCAAAAAAAGAAAGGACAGACTCCCTTGGAAGGTGAGATGGGTGGGCCTGGTGTGAGAGGTAGGCATGGGATCCCTGGCTGTAAACCCACTGCACAGAGGAAAAGACGGCATGGAGGCTGTTTAGGAACATGTTGGGGGCTACATTGTGCCCCTCCAAAAAAGACATGTTGATGGTCTGTCTCCTGATATCTGTGAAGGTATCCTTATTTGGAAATAGGGTCTTTGCAGATGTAATCAAGGTGTGCAGTGGGCAAGTGTGCAGCAGCCACACTCAGTGGGACACCTGAGTCCTGGGCCTCTCAGGGAGAGACCACTCGCTTGTTCCTGCTCCACCTCACCCCCACACTCACCAAAGCCCGACCTTGCTCGGCTCCACTGGACAAGAAAAACCACCCAGGGTTTGAAACAAGTTTTGGTTGGCTTCTGAGCAGCCGGTTGGTGCTCTAGGCCAGCCTCGTCTCACCAGGGCTCTGCACTTCCCTCAGCTTCTCCAGGTGCCTGGTGATGGCAGCCATTCTCCTGAGGACAAGGCCCAAGGTGAGTGGGTGGCCCTCCCCCCCAGTATCTTCCCTCAGCAGTCTCCAATGCTCCTCCAGATTCCGGACCTTTCCATTCTACTCAGGAGAGCTTAGGCTAGCCTCAGCATCATGCCCCTTTCCTGATGCCTCAAAGTAGGTGTCCTGACTTCTGTCAGCTCCTCTTTCCTAAGTGGTCTGCTTACAACTCAGCCTGCCCTTCCTGCTGAGGTCTCTGGGGGTGGGGTGGGGACACCCACATTCTGTTGCTGCTGGCTCATCCTGGGACCCAAGGGCTTGAATTCCCCTACAGCTGCAGGAATGGCTTATTTTAGGTCCCAGTATCATTTGAGGACGTGGCAATGTACTTCACAAAGACAGAATGGAAGCTTCTGGATCTCAAACAAAGAATCCTCTACAAGCAGGTGATGCTGGAGAACTATGGCCATTTAGTGTCATTGGGTAAGTGACCCTGCCATATACAAACACCCAGGCCCACCTACTCTGCCTCTGGACTCTATTTCTGAGTTTCTTTTTGGTTAATTACTATGAGTCCAAGAATAAATGCATTTGTCCATCTCTACCAGACCAGTCATCTGTTGTAGGCCAGCTGTCATCTCAATAGGAGTTTTTGGCTAAATGGTTTAGTGTCAAATCAGTTATCTTGTATATAAAGTCATGAATTGACTAAATATCTTTCTACTTATAATATAATGCCAGTTATGCTGCAATATTTATATGCACTATTTTAAACTTGATTTATCTTTATAATAGTTTCATTTTCCACTCATCCCACTTTGTAGAATTTAGCAGCAGGATTTCCTCACATAAGCCATGGAGGTGCCAAGCAAGGACTAAGTGTGCACTAGATGTGCCTCAAAGAATCCAAGAAGAAGCTGGGACAGGTGTGAGCAGGCAGCCTTTCCCTTCCTCTGTCAACATGCCCCCAACTTCTCGTCTTTATGACACCACGAGGGATGTCAATTTTGCTAATTGAAGGGCAAAACCAAGAGTCACAGGTTGGGTGGGTGGGGCTGTGGCAGAAGCTTTGAGAGAGTGAGTGCCACAAGTGCCCTGCCTCCTGCGTCTGAGGAGCTCAGGGACTGGCCTTTCCCCTCCTGCAGCCCAGCATGTTATTGGCTACAGCTGAGCTGAGGCCTTCCTTTTCCCAGCATTTTCCTGGCTGCTGGGAGTGGGCTGTAAAACTAGAGGTGGCTCCCCCACTACATCCCAAAGCCTTTGGGGTTGTGAGGAGGCCATTTAGCACTGAACCCTTTTCTTTGGACTCTACAGACTTCAATTCTGTAACCTGACCCCATTGAGAGACATTAGCTCTTCCCCCTGGCTTCTCTGACATTCAACAGACAGATGGGGACACATCTTTTTTCCAAGGAAACTTCAGGATTCTCAGTTGAGTTGGATGGTGAAACAGGGACATTCACCTTTCAAGGAGCATGGCTGTGGGTGACCTTTCTCTGGACTTTCTTAGTGGCACTTTCTAGAAAGTTCTTTGCTTTCTATTATCTGCAGATGTTAAGGCTGTACTGTGTTTAGGAGTCACTCTGTCCTTAGCCATAGTGTTGCTAACCTGCTTTATTTCTGTGAACAGGATTTGCCTTCTCCAAGCCTCGCCTGGTGTCCCAGCTGGAGCGAGGGGAGGGGCCTTGGGTAGCAGACTCCCTTAGAGGCCAAGCAGAGGCAGAATCACATGCAGGTGAGTGAGGAGTGCTCATCCCACTTGCTTGAATCCCAAGAAAGGAAAGAGCTGCTACCAAACCAGGATGGTTTGGCACATCCACCCTGGATGGGAAATTGTCTTTAGTGTCAGATGTCAGTCTCCCAAGGGCTTCCCTCCCATCCTGGTGAAGCGAGAGCCTCTGTCCTGCTGCCTCACACCCTTTCAGCCACCATTACCAGTCCATCGTGTCTCTCTCCCTCTGTCTGCCTGCCTGATGTTTTTCTGCCAAGGTGAAGAAGAGTAAAACCCTCAATAGAGTCCGAGAGAGGGGTGACACTTGACACTGCCTGGCACTCTTTGTCTTTGCAGGTGAGAGGATAAAGAGAAAGACAGCCATTTCAAAACAGAAATATTCTGGAAGAGGACGCCCAGGACCTGACTTTCAGGGCGGCAAGGGGGGTCAGGTGGCAGCGTCACCTCCCCAGCCAGGAGGCACCAAGAGAGTGTCTGCACAGAGAGGTCCCCAGGACTCTGTACACAATCCGGTTCTAAGGCAACAGCTTTCCAAGGGAGTCGAGAAACGGTACCTGTGTCAACAGTGCGGGAAATCCTTCAGCCGCAGCTCCAATCTGATCAAACACCGCATCATCCACAGTGGCGAGAAGCCCTTCGCCTGCAGCGAGTGCGGGAAGCTGTTCCGCCGCAGCTTCGCGCTGCTGGAGCACCAGCGCATCCACAGCGGTGAGAAGCCGTATGCGTGCGGCGAGTGCGGCAAGACCTTCACGCGCAGTTCCAACCTCATCAAGCACCAGATCATCCACAGCGGCGAGAAGCCCTTCGCCTGCAGCGAGTGCGGGAAGCTGTTCCGGCGCAGCTTCGCGCTGCTGGAGCACCAGCGCATCCACAGCGGCGAGCGGCCTTATGCGTGCAGCGAGTGCGGCAAGGCGTTCAGCCGCAGCTCCAACCTCATCGAGCACCAGCGCACCCACAGCGGCCAGAAGCCCTACACCTGCCCCGAGTGCGGCAAGGCCTTCAAGGGCGTCTCGCAGCTCATTCACCACCAGCGCAGCCACAGTGGCGAGAAGCCCTTCGCGTGCCAGGAGTGTGGCAAGGCGTTCCGCGGCCGCTCTGGCCTCAGCCAGCACCGGCGCGTGCACAGCGGCGAGAAGCCCTATGAGTGCAGCGAGTGCGGCAAGGCGTTTGGCCGCCGCGCCAACCTGTTCAAGCATCAGGCGGTGCACGGTGGCATACGGGCCTCCGAGCGCCGGGGCCGCGCCAAGGGGCTGAGGCGCGGCTGCATGCTCCTTGAGCCGAGGCGTGGGCACCGAGGGCCGCGGCCCCAGGAGGGCGGCGAGAGCAGCTCGGCCGAGCCCCGGCGGAGCCGCAGCGGCCAGAAGCCACATACGTGTGAGCACTGCGGCCAGGCCTTCGAGAGCAAGTCGCAGCTGAGTGGCCACAGGCACTCCCATGGCGGCGAGAAGCCCCAGGCAGGCAGCCCACGGGCGGCGGCTTTCGAGGGGAAGTCACTCATTGAGGGGAGCGATGGCGGCCACGGGGCCAGCGTTCTGGGCTCTGGGAAGACCCAGAGCAAAGCCTCGCCCTGAGGCCAAGAAACAGTGCACGACTCTTGAGTGGAAGGACGCGCCCTTCCCCGAGTGCGCTCTGTCCCTAAGGGTAGGGCGGGGAGGAGGGACAGGGGCCGTCGATGCTTAGAGACTGCACCCCGAGGCCCGGCCCAGCCTAGCAGGGTACTCCTAGGCGCCCACGCACGCGTGCGGAGGCGCCGGCTGAGCTTTGTACATTGCGGAATTGCTCCCCCGTGCGCGGACAACTGCCTGCTGTGTGGAGGGAGGAGGCAGCCTCGCCTCGCCTCGCGCGAGGAGTTTACACGGTAATGGCCCCCGTCCTCACTCCAGAGCGGGGCCATTCGCCTCCTGCCAAGAGTTAGTGTTTCTGCGTAGAAGACACTACAAGCACTTTAACTCTTTCAGGGCTTATTAAACGCAGAGAGCTCTGAAACTAGACTGCTGCTCCTAGGGAAGGCACGAGCACCCCGCTGGCTAGTAGCGCGGAAAAGCCCTGCAGGTGTGGGGAACCGTGGGAGGCTGTGCCTGAAAATTCCGGTTCTGTTGGGCGCCCCCTTCTGCTCGGAGGAGGAGCTGCACATAGCCCCACTGCCTCTCAGTGGGGGTTTCTGGGAAATGGCTGCCCTGCGTTCTACACAAAGGATAAGACCAAGAGAGCCTAAGCTTCTCCTCTCTAGGAGAGCAGCCCTGGATGGACCTCCTGTGGTTCCTCACAGGAATGGGCTCTGAACAAGACATGGCAACATTTGTGCCCCCATTGTCCTGCTGGCTTCAGTCTCCTCCCTGCCCACCAGCCCCCAGCTCATGCCCTGTTGCCTCTGTCAACCAGACCCCAAACCTGCCTACCCAGCAAAGGCTGTCCCGGCCTCTCTGCCTACCCCCACACCCGCCAGTGCCTAAAGCTTTCAACTTAACTGCTCCTGAGTTGGATCTGGGTGACCGGGCAGCTGCCTTTCACATGACATTTCTTAGAGTATCCAAGGTGCCCTTGCTTGGAATGTTTTTGTATTCAGGGATAGTGTAAGTTGATCATGGAGATTTTGGCCATATGAGAGTGCAGGGAATCACTCCTTAAATAAGAATTCCCCAACCCCCTGACAAGACCTCAGGCAGGAAAAAGGGGCCATCCCAGGCCCACATCTGATAAGCTGGTGGCAAGCCTGCACCTCTTCTCCCTGGAATGATGCAGTCCCCCCCCCCCCTTCAGCCCCATGGACAGGGCAGACCCTTCAGAAGGCACTTTATGAAATCTTAGGGGAGTTTTCAAGAGGAAAGCTTGCTACTAACTGGAGGCAGCTGCCAGCAGGCACTGTCCTGTTCTACCCACACTGTCCCTGGAGGCCTGGGAATTCTGACCCCTTGGTATTCTCAGCCCAGCATCCTGGTCAGTTGACCACCCATTCCATCCTGCTACACTCCCAGGAGAGAGCCCCTCCAAGGGTGTGTAAGTGATAGGTGTTGTAGAGGCCACCCATGGGGACCCCAAGGAGGAGCATGCACTTTCCTGCCAGACAGGGGAGGTTCAAAGACGTTTTCCTCCTGCCAGGAGAATGTGGGAGGGCCTGAAAATCCAGGTTCCTTCCAAGGATGCTGCTTGGAGTGCCAGTCATTAGGACAACTCCAGAAATTTCATACATGTAGACACACGCACATGTATATA